CTCTTCTCTTCTCTTCTCTTCTCTTCTCTTCTCTTCTCTTCTCTTCTTCTATTCTATTCTATTCTATTCTATTCTGTTCTGTTCTGTTCTGTTCTATTCTTATTTTCTATTCCATTCTATTCTATTGTCGCGAAGGCTCCTGGATCGGGGCTGAAAGGCAAAAGCGGAAGCAGTCTGCTCCGTCCCATAATTGAGTAGACCAGGTTGCCCTGACGAAACAACACTTCCTCCTTCTAAGGTTTTAGCTGACAGTGGCTGATGCCGGATTGGTGGCCCTGATCCCTAATCATGAAGAAATCTCTGTTTTGTTTTGTTTTCGTTTTCTGCAGCTGAAAAATCAGGGTCCGATTCAGCGGGTGGATGTAACAGCCAATAGCGTGGATCTGTATTTGGAGAAGGTGAGTCCAGAAACCACAACGAAGGAACGGACGAGCTAGAGGGACGCCAATAAAGAGAGGAAGGGAGTGATGGGTTTTTTGCCCTCCAAATCTTCCCGTGGTTCAGGAAAACGTTAATATTTCACATGAAGGCAGAGTCATCAACAAAGGGAATTATAGGTAGGCCTTGACTTACAACCAAGGGTGGGATTCTCCCGGTTTGGACCGGTTCGGGCGAACCTCCTAGCTGCGATGAGCAGCTGGCTACGAACCGGTTCAATCCAACCATCATGTGGGCCATGCGCTGTGCTCACCTATACCCGCTCAGCTGATTCGCGCGGCAGAGCGGATGGCTGCTCCTCAGCTGTGTTACTTCCCCAAAGCAACATTAAAGGTCAGTAATTGTGATAGCTACGCGCAGGAAGCACACAGGCACGCGCGGAGCACGCGATTAGCGAACTGGTTGTTACGCCGGGAGAATCCCGGCCCTGCTTACAACAGCTCACATAGTGTCCAAAGTTACAATGGCACTGAAAAAAAGGGACTTTTTTCACACTTACTTTTCCAGCATCCCTGCAGTCCCATGATCAAAATTCAGGCGCTTGGCAACCAATTCATATTTACAATGGTGGTTGCAGTGTCCTGGTGCGTGTGTGTGTGTCCCCTTTTGTGACTTTCTGACAAGCAATGTCAATGGAGAAGCCAGAGTCACTTAACCACCGTGTTACCCGTTTAATAACAGCAGTGAATTACTTACCAAAGGGGGCGAGAAAAGTCATAAAACGGGACAAAGCCCACTTAACAAATTTCTCACTTAGCAACATAGACCTCGGGCTCAATTGTGGTCGTACGTTGAGGACTACCAGTGCTTCCCTGAAATATTTGTGGAAAAAGTAGAATAATAGAGAAAGGCATCGGGGGCTGTCCAGATATTTTGGACTTCATTCCACATCTCACGTGGTCAGGTTGTGTGGAGCAAGTTCAAAACTTCTCAGCCCATCCCTGGGTGCTTGGTGGGCTTCAGTATTTCAGATAACAGATAATCAGAGTTGGAAGGGACCTTGTAGGTCATCTAGTCCAACCCCCCGCGGGACACCCTGCACCGTTTCTGACAGATGGGAGTCCAATCTCTTCTTGAAAGCCTCAAGTGATGGCGCTCCCACAACTTCCGAGGGCAACTTCTGTTCCATTGGTTGATTGTTCTCACTTTCAACCTTCTAAGCCAGGGGTGTCAAACTCAATTACATTAAGGGCCTCATCAGGGCTACAGTTGACCTCAGGAAGGCTGGGGGGCAGGCATGGCCGACTGGGTGGGCGTGGCCAACTTGACACTGCTCCCTAAACTGCTGGCATGTTTCCTCTTTGTATTAAGTAGGCCAGGCCGAAGCAATGTGGGCCAGCCTGTTATATTTTCCAGGATGGCCCCGTGGATCGGATCTGACCACATGTCTCAGCCAGTCCTTGAGTATTGAAGATTTGTCCTAAAATGAATACAAACTCCAGCTCCTTTGTAGTGCAATGGTGGTTTATTCATTAGCTCAACAAACCACAAATACTCTTCTCTTGACAAGAAAGGCTCAAAGCCAGGCAAGGTTAGAGTTGGGTTTGAGTTTGCTCCCTTTCCTTTTATTACCATTATCATGAGACACACCCCACCACACCCAGGCCTATAAGCAGTTCTAGTTTTGACCACGCCTAACCCATTTTCCCTAAATGCTATTAGCCCTATAACGTGTCTACTTCCCTACCCTATTCCGACCCTCACTAACCGATCCCCACCTGACGCCACCTTCACCATGTTTTAACCCAAGTCTTAATGACCACGTATATGGGCCCCACCCCCCTTTTAACAATATGCACCACATCAATACATGAAAAGAGCCATTTCCAGCAGCCCCGCAGTTGTTTCAGAATCCATCCTGCAGCCCCGCAGTTGCTTCAGAATCCATCCTCAGCTCTGCTGAGTCATTCCAAAGGCATTGGCCAGCACACAAGCAGAAATACAGATCCGACAGCAGCTGACTAAGGGGACATAGCCAGCTGACTTGCCGCGAGGCATATTCGAAGCTTGGAGCCCGACATTGAGTTTGACACTCCTGTTCTAAGCGGCACAGGCAATCCTCATCTTACAACAGTTCGTTTAGTGACTAATGTTGCAATAGCACTGAAAAAAAGTGGCCGTTTTTCACACTCAACGACCGTTGCGGCCATCTGTGTGGTCACGTGATCCAAATGCGGACGCTTGGCAACTGGCACGTACCCTATCCTCTTTTGCGACTTTGACAAGCAGAGTCAATGGGGAAGCCAGATTCCTTTAACCATCAGGCTGTTCGCTTCACAAGTGCAGTGATTCACTTATCAAGGGTGGCAGGGAAAGTTGTAAAAAATGGGACAAGGCTCGCTTAACAATGGTCTCATTTAGCGCCATAAATTTGGGGCTCCATTGTGGTTGTATGTGAGGCTGTTTTGCCGGTAGCCACGCATGCAAGATGCGAAGCTGGATTTAAAATGAAGAGAAAGGAAAGAACCATCTGGCAAAACTTGGGGCAATGCCAATACAACTGTACACGAACTTACAACTCACAACTGTAATTGAGCCCAGAATTATGGTTTTAAGTCCTGTAGTCATTAAGCAATTCACCGGATCCGACTTTACAGTGTTTTGTGTAAGCAAATGCCATAGTGCTTCTGCAAATCTATTTTCCCCAATGGGCATTTTTTTTGCGGAAAACCAGAAATAAAAATTGAAAACCAGCAAAAATTGAAAACCTGGTGCAGTCATGGCGAGCTGGTTAGCAAATGCCCCAAATGCAATCACATGATTGGGGGTGGCTGGGGCAGGAACTCAGGCATAATTTTGAAAAGGAGTCCTAAGTCACTCTGAGGAAAGGCCAGTCATCAGTCTACTTGTAAATGCCATCACATTTCTTCACTTGCGACAGTCTTTCTGTAGCTGCTGAGGGACGTAAAATACCTCCTCTAAGTCATATACATGTAGGGGTGAGATTCAAAACTCCCAGCAACCGGTTCGCTGCCCAGTTGCTGGGTGGGTGTGGCCTACCGGAACTTCCGGGAGGGCTGTTTTTTGCCTTCCGCAGGGTCTGGAGGCTTCTCTTGGGCCTCTGGGAGGGTGAAAACGGGCTCCGCAGGCCCACCGGAAGCTGGAAACAGCCCCGTTTCCGAATTTCCGGACCTTCCGGGATGGCCATTTTTTGCCTTCCCCAGAATCTGGAGGCTTCCCTCAGGCCTCTGGGAGGGTGAAAACGGCCTTCCCGGGGCTCCGCAGGCCCACCAGAAGCCAGGAAAAGACTCGTTTCCGGACTTCCAGAACTTCTGGTTTGGCCATTTTTCGCCTTCCCCCGTCTGGGAAGGAGAAAATGGCCTCCCCAGGGCTTCTGAGGGCCTCCGGAAGCCGGAAAGAGGCCCATTTTCAGACTTCCAGAACGTCCGGTTTGGCCCATTTGTCATCCTCCCAGAGCCTCCAAGTGGACCCTGCACTTATCTGCATCCAATTTAGGCTGCATGGAGACTCCCGGGAAGGGCAGGGCAGCATGGCCAGGCCAGCCAGTCGGTTGAACTACCGGTTTGGCGAACCGGATGTAAATTTAACATCTGGTTTACCCAAACCGGCCCAAACTGGTAGAATCTCACCCCTGTATATATGTGGCAAAGGGGACAAAGGAGCAAATACGTTGAAAATGTACAGATTGATTTTACCTGAACATCAACTAATCTGAACTTCTTGCCTGCAGCTGACCAACACCACTGTGCAGTTCTCTTTCACGGTGGAACGAAGCGTTGAGATCCAGAATCAGCGTCCAGCCTTTGTGAAGGTGTACGACTATTACGATGGTGAGTGCAGAATACGCGGCTGTTGGTTCTGAATCCAATTCTGCACCACAGCCAACCTATCCCCACAAGGACTCCAAAGCCAAATCTTGAAAGATGGTGAAAGAACAGCTCACATCGCTTTGGGATGTAGCGGAAAGCGCAATTGGGTGTTAACCATAGTTTCCTTCGTTTTTTTCAGATGAATCGGCAGTGGTTCCGTATCACGCCCCCTGCAGTTCAGGTATAGTATGAACTCCTTTTGGATTCTACTACTCTCTTCCACCTTCTTCTTTTTTTTTTTTCCGATGAGTGGAAAAGTCTAAACATGGCCAATTTCAATTTTTATTCTCTTGGATGGAATACTATTCCCCCAAATCTGTCTCTTGAGTTTAGGCCAGAGGCCTCCAAATGTGGAAACTATACAACTTGTAGACTTCATCTCACAGAATTCCTCCAGCCCCCCTCAACCTCAACAACAAACCCATTTGCCTCAAAAGGTGTCCAGATAAATATGCAGAAGTGAGGTTGACTTCACCTAGTCCAGTGGTGGCTAACCTTTTTGGGCGCCCATGCCAAAAACTGTGCAGGTGCTTGCACGCTCGTGCTCGCGTGCCAGCACCCAGAAGGCAATGCGCCCCTACGCATACATGCACAATCTCCCACCCCTTAGCTGCACCAATTTTTGGCTGGTTTGAGGCCTTTTTCGGCCTCACAAAGGCTTGAGGAAGGCTTCTGCAAGCTTTGCAGGCTGAAAATTAGCCCCTTTTAGTCACTTCCTGTTTTTCCAAACATACCGGAAGTGACAAAACCGGGCTAGTTTTTGGCCTTCAAAGCTTGCAGAAGCCTTCCTCAAGCCTTTGGGAGGCTGAAAAAGGCCTCAAACCAGCCAAAAATCAGCTGTGAGGCGCGCACATGCGCAGTGAGGTAACTTTGCCTGCAGCTTGCATGCCAGCACAAATGGCTCTGCGCTATAGGTTCGCCATCAAATGTGATTACTTTGAAGATGGTTCAAAGTTTATAAGTGATACACTTTTTATAAGTTAGATAAGTTTTACATAACTTTGTTTCATAAGTTATTGTTCATAATTGACATTCCTATGTGAAGCTGGCCTGCCATTTATTCAAGAACTAAACTTAAATCATCAGGCCCTTGTGCAATGCATCATCTCAAAAATTAGAAGGGAAAAGGCTAATTTGGCGCTTTTCTGCAATTGTTAACAACTGGCAAGTGTTCAGATATGTTGGACTTCAATTTCTTTTGCGTGCTAGCTGAGCATGACCATTTTTGTCCGATGTATTTGGAGAGGACAGGTTTCAATTATAGCCAACTCCCATCCAATTTCTGTTTAACTGGTCCAGCAAGAAGGATGCGAAATTCATCTTAAATGATAAATCATCTTAAAAGGAGAAGCCTGTTTGGCTTGGAGAAGTCCAACACCCAAATTTCTTTGTCCATCTTTGGTTGAATGCTTGGCTTGTTGACATTTTGATGGCCATTTCTCTCCCATAGCTAATGTTGGGAATGCATGAAGAACAGAATAGCTCTCCACCATCTCAGTCAATCCCATTGCTGCTTCCCCTGATGAGAAAACAAGAGGCAGAAAACAGACAGCCAAAGACCCAAGAAGAAGAATCCGGTGCTTTCTGGGTGCCTTACTTTTTATCTACCACTTTCTGAGCCCCAAGGAATTCGAGACGCGCCACTGGCTTCACCTTCTCTCCATTTGGGTCTGGAAAAAAACCAAACATCTGGCATTTACTGTTGTCTTCTCTGATGGTGGAAAGAACGAAACAAATAAATAAATGTTTGGATTCTATCAGCTGTGCTTCAAATCCATGTCTAATGATAGAAACAGGCTCGCTGCAGATTTTTAAGGTTGAAAATGCAACATCTCCAGAAGTTCTAAGGCTGGAGGAGATTGACCCGATTTGATTTGACTGGTTGGGTTAAAATCTACTTTGTTCCAGTGATGGTCCTTACCTATTCAAACCCCAAACTCTAAGGGTCCTCATTTGGCAAAAGTGGAGGAAATGGTAAACCGAGTCAAGAGTCACAGAAAGTAGATCGCCTGAGTAAGTTTCCTCCACCTTGGAGGTTACCCAAGGACCTGTAAGCAAGCTACTCCCGATGACTTAGCAGCCGTCTTAAACCAGTGTTTCCTAACCTTGGGAATCTTCAATTCCCAGAATTCTCCAGCCAGCAACTTCATCAGAGGTTTCACACATGTTAAAAAGCATGCTGGCTGAGGAAGTCTGGGAAATTGAAGTTCCCGCATATCAAAATTCCCAAGGTTGGGAAACACTGATCTAAATTGCGAAAAAAAAAGATCTTTTTTTCTACTGCCTGCTGTCCTGCTAGATACCACAGGAGGGAGAAAAAAAGGACACCATCCAGAGGTGGTATATTCAGCAGGTTCTGACCACTTCTGGAGAACCAGTTGCGGAAATTTTGAGTAGTTCGGAGAATGAGCAAGGACCGCCAGTTCTTGGCCCCGCCCCCATCAATTCTCTGCCTCCCCAAGTCCCAGCTGATTGGCTGGGTCTTCTTTGGTTGCCCTGCACAGGAGAACAGAGCTGGAAAGCAGGTTAGTGGGGTGGGGAGAGAATGGGGACTTTGCAGTATTCTTCCCGCCGCGCCCACCAAGCCACAGCATGCCCACCAAGCCACTCCCACAGAACCAGTAGTAGAAAAATTGAATCCCACCACTGACGCCATCTCTGTTTCAATAAGTTTAAGCAATTTAGTACCTTACATTTTCAAGTCCCTTCCTGCCTGCCCACCAATGGGCATCTATGTGGGGGTGTGGTGTGGGGGGTATGAGAACTGACACCCAAAACCTCTGAGGGGCAACCGGTTCATTGTCCCGCTCTTTCAAATGACCCCTTTTTAATGTACTGCAGAGTGACGTACTGCTTTCATAGAAAAAGCAAATCGAAGGTTGCTTATTCATTTCAAAAATGAAGAGATCTGGCTCTTGGTGACACAAACCTGCCACTAAACTCACCATATTCTACCTCAGGGGGGTGGTCTTCAAACTTGACAGCTTTAAGACTTGTTGACTTCAAAACTTCAAAGAATTCCCCCTCCAGTCATGTTAGCTCAGGAATTCTGGGAGTTAAAAATCCACAAGTCTTAAACTTGCCAAGTCTGGAGACCCTTGGACTCCCTGTTCCCTTCACCTCACCTTTCCCGTTGTACAAAAGCACCAGCAACCTCAAGATCAGAAATTCAAACAAAGGCGGACAGCAAAAAAACAACACAGGGAACACCAGGAATATTCTGAGGACAGAGGGTCACTCTAGAAAATTTATTTATTTAAAGGACACGCAGTTACATATGCCCTCCCCCCCTCCCAAAAAAAATAACGAAAAAAACAAACTCTACTCACAAAAGTTCTGATATCCCAAAATATACTCTTCCAGGCATGAACACCTAGATTACTGGGCTTGAGCCGCTCCCTGAGCAAGCCTCACCCTTACCCAACACTTAAGGTATTTGAGAATCAGAGGAAGTAGAAGTTATTTTAACTTGTATTTCAGTTCAGTTCAAACCTTTATTGTCAACACACAACATGTGTACAATGAGATTGGCTGAGTCTCCCTCAGTGCACCCCTCCCCCAGGAGTGGGCTTCCAAAATTTTTAGCAACAGGCTCTCTGCCCGGTTGCTGGGTGGGCGTGGCCATGGTGACCGGGGACCACTCGTGGTCCGTTAGAAAATTTTGGTGGTCCGCAGAAAAATGGTACCCCCAAAGCACACACACCCCTAAAGCAATTAATCCAGGTTGCGTGGGAACACAAGGCTGCGCCGTCCACATGGCCCGCGGGAACACAAGGCTTGCATCGCCAATAACATGAGGTAGTGAAGGGAGCGGGGAAATGGGGAGAGGAAGGGAACTTGCCCCACTCGCCCCATGTGCCTTACCTGGCTACTGGGCTGCTTCTTTCTTCTGCTTTTGGCTGCACACAAGGAAAGCAGCAAAAGTCTTTCTTTCTCTCCCCCAGAAATGAGTCTTTGGGACCCTGCAAAGCATCCTGCTCCAAGAGGCTCCAAGAGGTATTACAGGAAGTGACCAAACGGGCCTATAATTCATCCTGAAAAACCTCGCAGAGGCTTTTTCCAAGCCTCTGAGAGGCCGAAAAAGGCCTCAAACCAGCTGGAAAAAAAAAACAGCTGTGAGGCACGCGCATACATAGTGAGGTAACTTTGCCTGCGGCTTGCATGCCAGCACAAATAGCTCTGCGTGCCGTTTATGGCACGTATGCCGTAAGTTCGCCATCATGGGTCTAGAATCTCTACACAGTCACAAACAAAGTCCAAACCCCTTTTGAATTCTATTGACCCTTATCTACTGCTAAAATAATATTGTTAATTGAGTAGATTCCTGTGCATAGGCACGAACAATAAATCAGTTTAATTGGTCCTGGTTTTTTACCCCTGACATTACCCTTCATCTTGAGACAAACCCCCCTAAAAACAAGAAAACCTGGGATTAAAATTGACACATGAAACATTGTCATTTCATAACTAAGTCAATCATCAAGGCAGACAAATAAACAAGAATATCTAAAGAGTATTTTTCGAGACAGGTTTATTTACTTTGATATCCTTAGATAAAGGAAGGCTGACACTCCGAGTTACTTACCGTACATTTTTAGCCAAACTTCTCAACTTTGATAGCTTGAAGACGTGTGCACTTCAAACTCCTAGAATATGTGCTGGCTGGGGAATTCTGGGAGTTGACATGTGGATGTCTTATAAAGGTATTGAGATTTACAAATACTGCTTTAGGGTTACAAGCATCTAACTGCAGCTGGAGCTGGGGGTCACTTGTGAGTACAATCTATTTAAAGAAAAATACTTTTTAAATAATTCAGTGTTTTCAGGTATTATTATTATTATTTATAAATTTTCAAACGTTCTCTGGATGCAAGGATTCTTGGTCTGATAACTATTCTCATATTCTTTACACCGGGGTTCTTCAACCGTGGCAACTTTAAGACTTGTGGCCTTCAGCTCCCAGAATTCCTCAGCCAGCAAGCATTCTGGGAGTTGAAGTCCATACATGTTCAAGCTGTCAAAATAACATGGCCGGCAGAGGAATTCTGGGAGTTGAAGTCCACAAGTTTCTTAAAATTGCCAAGATCCCCGCTTTACACCATTCATGCTTTTTATGCACTGACCACTTTTATCATCTCTCCCCCATGTGAATGGTCTGGTGCTTCTTCAAGTTTCCCATCTGGCTGAAGTCTTTCCCACACAGAGAACACTTATACGGCCTCTCGCCCGTGTGAATCCTCTGGTGCTTTTTTAAGTCTCCTCCCAGGTTGAAACTTTTCCCGCACTGAGAGCATTTGTAGGGTCTCTCCCCCGTGTGGGTCCTTTGATGGTTCTTCAAAAGGACCGCCTGGATAAAGCACTTCCCGCACTGCAAACATTTGTAGGGCTTCTCTCCGGTATGAATCCTCTGGTGGGTCTTCAAGTTTCCTTTCTGGTTGAAGCATTTTCCGCAGAAAGAGCACTCGTACGGTTGCTCGCCGGTGTGAATGCGTTGGTGATTCTTAAGATCCCCCTTCTGAGCGAAGCACTTCCCACACTGAAAGCATTTATTGATCCTCACTTCGGTTCCCAAGTCTTGTCTTCTATTCAGCGGCTGCGTGCAACTAACATTCTTCCCGCTTTCGGCACCGCTGTTTGGCTTCCAATCCGCACGGAGGCTCGGAAAGATCTTCAAACCACTCCCGTTCCCGCGTCCAGAGGCTTCGTAGCTTCGATTTGCGGTTAGGATTTTTCCCAGTTTATAAAAAGATGAATTAGGCAGCAGGTTTTCCTCTGACAAAAGGTGTGTTTTGTATTCCTCCCCGGAAGGTTGCATTCCAAGGTCAAATCTGTAGCGGTATTTTCTGCCGTAACAGGAGAACGGTGGCATTTTATCCCAAGTGGGGTTTGTAGTATTTTCGAGTGTGGCAACCGTACAACTCCCAGTACGCCGAACGCATTCGTTCCGGGTTTGGGATTCGCTTCTTCCCTCCAGTCTTTCCACGACTGGTGTGACATCCCCCAAATTCAGCAGTGAAAGGGCCCCATGTGCCTCTCCTGGCTTCTTTTCTCCATCCTGAAGAGTCTCCACTTTCACCAAACTTCTCTTTCCATCCCCTACAGAGAGAAAGAAAATATTTTTCTTCCTGATCTGCTGACTCTTTTCAAGATTCCTATTCTGCCAAGTCACAGGCTTCTTTCTCGCAAATTTGAATTTGTTAAATTCAGCCTACCTCAGGGTATCTGGGCCAGCCCTTTCTCCTCAAGCTTCCAAACAGCTATATAGGTAAAGGTAAAAGTTCCCCTCGCACATACATTGTAGTCATTCCCGACTCTAGGGGGCGGTGCTCAGCTCCGTTACAAAGCCGAAGAGCCAGCGCTGTCCAAAGACGTCTCTGTGGTCATGTGGCTGGCATGACTAAACGCTGAAGGCGCACAAAGGAACGCTGTTACCTCCCCACCAAAGGTGGCCCCTATTTTTCTACTTACATTTTTACATACTTTCGAACAGCTAGGCTGGCAGAAGCTGAGATGAGTAACAGGAGTTCACTCCGTTACGTGGCGCTAGGGATTCGAACTGCTGAACTGCTGACTTTTCTGATCGACAAGCTCAGCATCTTAGCCACTGAGCCACCGCATCCCCTAAACCAGGGGTCCCCAGGTACTGGTCCGTGGAACATTTCCTACCGGGCCGCCGGTTTGCTGGGCGCCGCCATCTTGTTTGAGGAGAAAGTGCTTCCGGGTGAGCTTTTCCGGTTGGAAAGCGGTATTTGGGTGCTGAAAGAATCCTCGCGCCTTAGTTTCATCGAAGGGGGGGGGTCTTTGAACGAAACTAAGGTGCGAGGATTCTTTCAGCACCCAAGGCAAGACAAGCCGAGCGACCGTCCTGAAGCCATCCTGAAGCCCATCGACAAAGGTACAAAGGAGGAGTTGAAGGTGGCGGGGAGAAGCGGGGGACGGCTGGCTGGCCGGTCGCTCGGCTCGCCTTGCCTTGCCATGCGTGCTGATGCCAGTACCGGACCGCGGATCATTTTGTGATGCCGGTAACGGGCCGTGGCACAAAAAAGGTTGGTGGCCACTGCCCTAAACAACTATATATGTACCAATAAAAGAGAATATTTGTAGCTCAGGTTTGAAGTAAGTAGATGAAACTTTGCAAAAGTTTCATCACCCAACTAGGTAACATCATCCGTACTAGTAGGGAGTGGGATTTGCTGTCAGTTTATATTCTGGTGTCTTGCCCATCTGTCTGGGTGTGGGCAGCCTTAGGGATTCTTTGGTTGGATTATTAACTGATGGCTCTTTGGTATTTCTTGATTGGGGTATTGCTTACTTGATTGTTGGTCTGAAGGTAACCTTGGAGTTAATCTGTGCTAATCTGGGTGCCGATTGCTGGTGGACAGGTGCTGTCACTTACATATTACCTAGTTAGGGTAATGAAATGCTTGCAAAAAGACATACAAGCCCAGAGAACACCAAGGACCCCTCAACTATATGGGTATAGCTTGTCAGGAACTGGGGAAATAAAGAGATTCTGGCAGTTCAAATGAGTATAAAAATGTATCGCAAGCTTAAGCTCTCTACAAAAATCTGAGCTACTAACGGTCAAGGGAATCGTGCAGGAATTAAGAGGCATTCAAGGTGGGCTGGACTTAGATCTCTCGTGACTGATGACATGTTTGACCCCATCCTCAAATTCAGCCTGGTCATCTCTGACATCTGTTGTGGCTCCGGGCTTGGATTCAGCTCCTGTGACTGATATGAGTTCAAGTGAGGAGGTCATGGCAGAAAAATATGAGCCAGCATGGCTTAGTGATTGGACTGATAACCAGGATGAGGAGATGGACGTGACAAAGGACGACAGACCTGATGTATTAGAATTGTCAGGACCTTTGACCTCCTCTGGTTCCTTATCTGATCAACAGCCGGGAATGGCTGACAGGGAAGTTTTGAGAGAGTCTTCTAGTGGAGATGAGAACTTGGAAAATTTGTGATTAAATGTAAGGAACAGAAGACGGTTGAGAAGGCAAAATCAGCTGGAGCGAATGAGGAGAGCGAGTCAGTAAATTAGCATGTTGCCTCAATGAGTATAAAAGGACACAGCTGGGCTGGTACATTTTGCCAGGAACAAAATGACTATTTGAGTGAGGACGTTACAGCAAGAAGCTCTGAGACTGGAGATTTATTGCCAGGACTGGTTTCCGGACAGAGTAAAAATTTATGCTGTGGTTTCTGCCAGCTGTTATCTTGTAAGACTTCTTTCTGTTTGATTTAATTGTGAAACGGCTGCTTTCTGTTTTGTTCGTTTGAATTTTGAAGGGGAGTCATAACAGACATCGCTCCTGGGAAGAGCAGTTGGGGACAGGTGAAGCCCATACTACCCCGAGTAGAGGCACACGGGACCGGTTGATAGTGGAGTCTGTCTGTTATTCTTTTCAATACAGGTAGTCCTCGACTACTGGGGACGCGGTGGCTCAGTAGCTAAGACGCTGAGCTTGTCGATCAGGAAAGTCGGCAGTTCAGTGGTTCAAATCCTTAGCGCTGCGTATGGCAGCATGAAATATGGCTTCCAAAGCCCGAAAACTTTTAGATTCGGGATAATGTCAGCGTTCCAGCAAACCTCCATTCCAATCAGTAAACTCTGAGACAAATGTATCTCAAAAGTACCTTTATTAGAATAGCTCACCTGGCACACCTGTGGAATCCCGAATCTAAAAGTTTTTGGGGTTTTCCACACATTCCCAAACTACAAATCCATCCCCCCTTGGCCATCATCACATCACATGGCCCAATCACGATCCCTCCAAAAGTAAGATCCTTATTTCATCCTGTGCTATATTCAATGACCTTGAACTAACAAAAGAATTTTATTTCGTCTACTTAGAGGTACTTAATTAAAATCACTTAATTAAAATCACTTAATTAGAATCACTTAATTAAAATCACTTAATTAAAGGCAGCATGGAACGTGGCTTCCAAAGCTGACAGCGTAACAGAGTGAGCTCCCGTTACTCGTCCCAGCTTCTGCCAACCTAGCAGTTTGAAAGCACGTAAAAATGCGAGTAGAAAAATAGGGACCCCTTTGGTGGGAAGGTAACAGCGTTCCTTTGTGCACCTTTGGGAGTTTAATCATGGCGGCCACATGACCACGGAGACGTCTTCGGACAGTGCTGGCTCTTCGGCTTTGTAACAGAGATGAGCACTGGCGCCCCCTAGAGCCAGAAAGGACTAACATGTATGTGCGAGGGGAACCTGTACCTTTACCTTACAGTTACAATTGAGCCCAAATTTTCAGTTGCTAAGGGAGACAGTTGTTAAGTGAGCTTTGCCTCATTTTACGACCTTTCTTGCCACAGTGGTTAAGTGAATCACTGCAGCTGTTAAGATAGTAACATGGTTGTTAAGTGAATCTGGTTTCCCTATTGACTTGGCTTGTCACAAAGTTGCAAACGGGGATCACAGGACCCCCACCCGGGATGCTGCAACCATCATAAATAAATTCCAGTTGGCAAGTGTTTAATTTTTTTTGACCGCATGACCACGGGGATGCTGCAAGAGTGGTGTGGAAACCGGCCATAAATAGCTTCGGGTGAAGCTGATACGATTTTCTGACCCTGAGTGTTGCGGTCTGCCGGCAGCCTGCGGAGACGGCAGCAGAGTCGGAAGGTGGGAAGAAACATGGGCCAGTCCTGGAGTCTGGGAGACTCGGACATTGGTCCCACGTCTGATACAGAGATGGGGCCAGGGCCATCTGGGAGTTATGTGCTGACTCTGGAGCCTCCAGAATCTGACATCAGTGAGGCAGAGAATCAAAGGGAACCTGCTCCCAATGTGCGCATGGGCAGAGCTGCCAGAAGGCAAAAACAATTTAAGACAAAAGGAGCGACTCGCGAGTTAGGCTTGGAGATGATTGGCCCCTCCCATAAGAGATAAAGGAGGAGCAAAGGGACATGAGCCTTTGCAGGAAGCAACTTTGTCCACTCTGTTTGGATTAAACCTTGAAGCTCTGTGCGGACGTTGTACTCCATTTGGCTTTTTACAGTTAATTTGGCACTCTAGTTCTTGGCAGCAATTCAAAGGAGATAAAGGTGGATGCTTATCTTGAGAGACTGTTTGAGACTCATTACAGGCAGGGAATGAACATAATTCCCATCCATTGTATTAAAAAGTGGGTTGTTTGGACTAAGCGTGTGATTAATTACAGTCTCAGGAAGCCTTGGTCAGAACACTGAGAAGAAAATTCTTACCCGAGCTGCCAGCGTTCCCACAATTGTCTTGGAGGACTTTCCAAGCGAAGGTTTCTTGGCTTGGCCGGGAGAGCGGCCGCTTGACGACTGGCAAAGACGCAACCATCTGGGGTTGTTCTGTACAACTCTGCAACAGAAAAAGATACAGGTCCAGGTAGTCCTCCAACTTACAACAGTTCACTTAGTGACCATTCAAAGTTACGAACATCACTGAAAAAAGGGACTTATGACTATTTTTCACACTTATGACCATTGTCGTGTCCCTCTGGTCACATGATTTACATTTGGATGTTTGGCAAGTGGTTCGTATTTATGACGGTTGCAGTGTCCTGGGCGGCCCTGTTGCGACTTTCTAACAAGGGAAGTCAATGGGGAAGCCAGATTTACTTCACAACCATCTTACTCATTTAATAACTTCACTTAGCAAACGAGGCAAGGAAAGTCATAAATGTAAAGCTTCCCCTTGCACATACGTGCTAGTCGTTTCCAGCTCTAGGGGGCGCCAGTGCTCATCTCCGTTACAAAGCCGAAGAGCCAGCGCTGTCCAAAGATGTCTCCGTGGTCATGTGGCCAGCATGACTAAATGTGCATGAACCGCTGTTGCCTTCCCACCAAAGGGGTCCCTATTTTTCTACTTACATTTTTTACATGCTTTCGAACTGCTGGGTTGGCAGAAGCTGGGGCGAGTAACGGGAACTCACTCCATTACACGGCGCTAGGGATTTGAACCGCTGAACTGCCAACCTTTCTGATTGACAAGTTCGGCATCTTAGCCACTGAGTCACTGAGCCACCGCCTCCCTCACGAAAGTCATAAAACGGGGCAAAACTCACTTAACCTATTTCTTACTTAGCAACATACATTTTGGGCTCAATTGTGACTCTAAGTGGAGCATTATCTATAATCCTCGAGTTATGATCAAAACCTTGAGTTGCAAGTCACAACCATCATAAAACAGATCAGTCACATGACTGACCTGATTTTCACGTTTTGTTTGCAGGGGTCATTAAGCAAACCGGTGGCTCTTAAACTGTTCACTAAGATACCGTTTTGCCAAGCACCCAAGGTATGATCATGTGACTGCGGGTATGATCATGTGATTGTGCGTATGATCATGTGATTGTGTGTATGATCATGTGATTGTGCGTATGATCATGTGACTGCGGGCCAAGGGGAGGGGCGACCAGTGGATCTTTGGATCCCGATCCTAAGTCACCTATTTCAGGTAGGTCACAACTTTAAACAGTCGTTAAACGGCCCATCATAAATCAAGGACTATCTGTAATTTTTTTTTACCTACAATGCACAATCCAAGAAGCAAGATTCACAGTTGTCAACTCATAAAATATTTCTCTGGTCTTTTAGAGTTGCCAGCAGAAAGGGAGCAGTGTAGCAGTTTGCAAAACCGAAACTGCATTCCATGGATGTTTTCGGAAAAACAGGAAGTGACGAAACGGGGCTAGATTTTGGCCTACAAAGTATGTAGAAGCCTGCAGAAGCCTTCCTCAAGCCTTTGAGAGGCCGAAAAAGGCCTCAAATCAGCCAAAAATCAGCTGTGAGGTGCAGTGCAGGTAAGTGGGTGGTGGAGGGTGGACTGGGGGGGTGGAATTGGTCACACATGTGTAGGGGATATGGGGGACACGCATTGCCTTCTGGGTGCTGGCAGGAGAGTGAGAGCATGCAAGCACGCACAGAAATTTTTGGCACAGGGGCCCAAAAAGGTTTGCCACCACTGCTATAGAGCGCTGCACACCAGGACAACTAGACACAAGAACAGTTTGTTCCTGAACGCCATCACTCTGCTAAAAAAATAATTCCCTCAACACTGTCCAACTATTTACAAAGTCTGCCCTACTATTATACTATCACCACTCCTTATCACCCATCCCCTCCCACTTGTGACTGTATGACTGTATCTTTGTCACTTGTATCCTTACAATCTTTACTGACTGTTTCCTAGTATGATTTGATTGCTTATTGTACCCTATGACTATTATTAAGTGTTGTACCTTACGATTCTTGACTCTTGACGAATGTATCTTTTCTTTTATGTACACTGAGAACATTTGCACCAAGACAAATTCTTTGGGTGTCCAATCACACTTGGCCAATAAAGAATTCTATTCTATTCTATTCTATTCTATTCTATTCTATTCTATTCTAT